CCAGGTCTACACCTTGTTATCTCTGATTCCATCATCGGCAGTTCTTACTATCTCCGACATTGCTGAAGTAGGTGGGTTTTTACAACAATCAATAGTATCATGGTTACTATTGCTGGTGATTAGCTGTGTATTACAGCTTTATTATGGCCAGGGTTATTAGTCCAATGACCTTGCCACTAGCCACCATCTACCCCATTGGTATGGCATTATTACAAGGAAAGAGCTGAGTAAAATTTGTTTTACACAGAGGGTTGTTAGAGCATGGCTAATTCTGCACAGGGAGTGGTTAAGGAAAACACCAATGTTTCTCTTAAGCTGATTAAATAAATATTTGAAGCAAAGTAAAACATTAAACGATCATGATAGAATGAAACATTGGGTTAGACTTGGATTGTTCCAGCAAACAATCTTGTCTAAACATAATGAGCTAAAAGCACTCTTTACAGATGCCTCAGTTTATACTGTAAACTTCTATGGTTCCATAGAATTTTAAAAGTGCAAAAAGAAATAAAATAGTGGATGAGTTTTGTGGGGAGGGGTTTAAGATTAGCTAAGTACTGTCTGGAGTTGTCTCAACACTTGTCCTACACCTCTTGTTTAAATTTTAAGCTGTATTAAGGCTGATAGAAATGAGCAGTGAATTAGAGAGCATTGCTTTCACCTCTGGTATCTGGATTTTGATGCAACCTAGCCATATGGTGAAATATCGGAGAGACAGTCAATTCTCTGGAGTTATGCGCAAGTAAATACAGTCTCAAGATTTATCCTGGCACAGTAGCTCTATCTTGGGTCACTGTCTTTGAATCTTTGAAACTCCTGCTATTGCAGAGGTTAGAAGTTGATGTCACAAGCTTTAGTAGTTACTCAAAAGGCTAAGTGAGTTTATCCAGTAAATAGCTGAATCATTCAGACAGGGAGAGGTCACACTGGCTTGTGTAGAGTCTGCTGGCGGCAGCTGCAAATGTGAGTAAAGGTTTGACTATTGGCCTTGGGTTCCTTCAGTTCTGAAGTGGAGAGAATGTGCCAGTTTCCTCATTTGCCCATTGTTGAAGAAACAGCTGACACTCGCCTGTCATTGCTCCCGGACAATTAACTCCTTCTTGACTGAATCAGATGGTGTCTAACATCCATGGAACTGTTGCAAGCAGTCGACATTTAAGGCAAGCAGAGGGCAACAAATGGCTGGAGAACATAAATCTACCTCAGTTGTGTTACTGCCAGCAAGGCTTGAAAATGTAAGTGAAGCATTTTCGGGCAACTGCAGACCCAGCCCCATGACTTCCCTATTTGCTCAGAAAGGAGCTAATACCAAACACTACCACGGCATCAGTTCTTGATGTTATAATTGGGAAATCAAATAATTCACGTTATGCTTGTTTCATCCATCGTGTTTTGTCAACATGACAAAACATGCAGTATGTTCTCACAATGTCTGAAACTGGGTGAGTCATTTTATCCAGTAACCCAACTGAGAACTGCCAATCTCATGTCCAAACACTCGTGGTGCTGGCTTCATTTTATCATTTTTTTTCTGCTAATTCCTTTAGTTTCTGAGCAACAGTCAGTCATGTGGCTGACTTACACAGGGGCTGACTCAATTTATAGTCTCCACATCAGTTTCTTCACAGCAGCTGTTCTCAACAGGAATTTGAATGCAAGTGAAATAACAACAGTGGCTCAGCTGTTCAGTGCATCCTCCTAAATAGCTCCACATTTCGCAGTTTACTCTGAATGTTATAAGTTGCTCCAATCATCTACATCATCTATAATTAGGCAAGGCGGGGGAAGGCCAGACTGCAAAATGACATTTACCACAGAAGGATCATTGAGTTTTTAAAGTTAGATTATAGAGCACAAATTGACCTGCTCTGTACTCCTTACACACCAAACAAACACCAGCTATAGAGCCAGCGGTAGTTAAGGCATTGCAAATGGAACAGGACTTGGCATTCACATGTTCCTGCAGGTACATGCGTTGAGAGCAACACGTAGACTCATGTCTCAGTCACACACCACACAAATTGGTCATTTTAGCAAAACAAATAAGCAAGAGGTTACAACATCTTTACAATCAGACTAGAGTAGGCAAAGTCGCCATAGACCTAGAAGAACTGCTCTCTCATTAGAGAGAGAGGGATGGCTGGGTGTGGTTTAAAGTGAGGGTCACCAGTATGTTTCACTTTCTCATAAATTTCAGGTTTACTTTAATTCTTCATCTGGGAGACAGCGGTGATGTCAATGAACCTGGAAGGCAGGAACCCACTCACATGTTCAGGGCACATGGGTTGAAGTCCCACTGTGGCAGCTGGTCAACCTTAAATTCAATTAATAACAAAACCGAAGGCGAGTCTCAGTAATGGTAACCACAAAACTTTCATCAATTATTGTAGAAACTCATCTTGTTCACTAATGTCCTTCAGGGAAGGAAATCTGCCACCTTTACCTGGTCTAACATACATGTGACTCCAGACCGACAGCGATGTGGTTGACTCTCAACAATCCTTTGGCTTATTCAGCCATTTCAATCAGCTCATGGGTAATTAGGGGTGGGAAACAAATGCTGACCACGCCAGTGATACCTACATTCTGTGTTAAAATAAATCTGATTTTGTATTAGAACATGGGGACGCAGTTACAATGCAGTTGTGCCAAGATGTGATGATACATCTTTGCCATATCTTTCCAATTTTCGTCATATTATTGTAGGTCATTTCAGGCCTAGAGAAAGGAACCGCATGTTGATTTAATACCATACAAAAATAGAGTCAGAAGCGATCTTGGAGATAAATCACAAATTGCAGTAGAGTCAAATATGTTGGTCTGGACAGAGCAGTGAAAAATAAGCGTTGCCATCTAAACCACAGAAAATCTGGAGATAATCAGCAGGTGTTGCAGCATCAGTGGAGACAGGAACAGAACTTATGAACAGGATTTTAGCATAGGCCTTTGACCCAGTAGAAAAACCAATCAGGTCTCCTGAGAATCTACTTACTGGCAGTGAGAGTAGTGAGGGGATATTTCCAAAGCTGACCTTCTAATTGGGTTAATGAAGGATAACGAGGTATAGATATAGATAATGAGAAATTGTTGCCCCTTTGACAGGACCAAACACAAGAGGGCACAGGTTTAAAGTAAGTGGCAAAAGACTCAAGTTCTTGGAGCTCCCTTCCCAACAGCACTGTGGATGTCCCTACACCTCAAGAATGGCAACAGTTCAGGAAGGCAGCTCGACGCCACCTTTTCCAGGGTGATTAGGATTGGGCAATAAATGTTGGACTAGCCAGCGAAGTCCACATCTGATGAATGAATTTAAAAAATGAGAAGAATGTTTTTCATCCTGTGCATGGTTAAGCTTAGGAATGCATATCCTCAGAGTGTGGTGCAACCAGGTTCAATCAAAACATTGTGAAGACTGTGTTTATCTGGAATGGAAGAACGTGTGGGGCTATGGGGAGGAGGAGGGGCTATGGGGAGAAAGAGGGAGGAGAAAGTCAATTGCTCATTCAGAGAGCCAGCAGAGACATGGTAGGCTGAATGGCCTCCTCCTGAGCTGTAACTGTGATGACCTTTCACCAGCGCATTCTGTCCTGAAATACCAATCTGAATAGTATGTTAGCAGCAGAAGTCCCATCACCAGAGCCCAATGTGGGATGGAGTGGACTCACTAATTTGGCAGTGCGGTCGCAGAACACATTCCGCTCACTGTCCGTTTGAAGGAAAGTGGCCCGCTGGCCCATTCAGATGGTCAGCAGCCTCATCACAGCCAATACCAGTGGTGCCCACCACTGTTAGCACATGGGCAGAAGGAAAACTCATCGACAGCCACATGCCCTCAAAGGCAGACAATGTCTGGATATGCAAGACCTGGTGAGGGGGAGGATTCACTCAGGCCATTTGGCCCTGCTGCCAGAGGGGTGGCCATTGACACTGCAGGGCTGGGAGCCCTCCATAGGCCAAGGAGGACTCAATAAGGAGGAAATCTGCAAACCGTAACTCACTGGGAGAGCACCATTTACAATGTCAGCAGAGGAAGGAATAGATCCTTACTTGGTTACTTACATAGTTCAATTGAGCTCTAGAAATACTAGCTGTGAAAGTCATCTCTAACCCTAATCTGGACTCGCTAAGTTTCTTCAACACTTTCCATTGTTGTTTCTGAAAGGACTAGCTCATCAGCCACCTTGCCCACCCTAAATGAACAACTGATGAAACTTGCGAATGACACATACTGGTTTGACTTGGAGGATCAATAAATACTATCAGTACATTGATTTGCAACAATACTGTTTCTCCCCTTAAGCAGTGGGAAGACACCTTCCTGTACTATATTGCCAGCCTTCTCACCTCGCAGACTAACCTAAACTGCGAGTAAAATTCAGTAAAATTTCATTCTTCACATATGCTGCCCAACTCATTGAGTGCTTCCAGCATTTTCTGACAGGTTTTATTGCTTTATTTCATGATATTACTAGGCCCAGGAAACTCTGAGCTAAACCTGAAGTGAATGAACTATTAAATGACCTTCAACAATACATGACAATCTTCCCCTATTATAGACATGATATCAGTACATATTTTTCCACATGCTTTGGTATCAGAGCTGGTGATGATATTCCGAAAGGCTGCAAAGAGCTGACAGATCATTTAAAAATAATCTACGATTCTGACACTGAAATATCTCAGATAAGAAGAGATGTGGAAAGTATCCAAAATATTTACACTTCTTTGCCCCTTACCCCTCCCCCAATCTCTCCTGTCCCATTCACCACTCAGAGATCCTCACTGCACAGAAATAACCCACTGATATTCACAATCCATGTTAAAATGTGAAGGATCGCTGCTTGGCACATTACTGGAAGGTAAGGAACGCAACAGATGCTATCTGCACCAACCTTGTCTAAGTCTGTTTCTTCAGGGGAGAAAGGAAGAGAATCCAGAACAGAACATTACTTCACAAATATTTAGATCCAAGAAACCACATATAACTTCTTGTTTTGCAGGCTTGGCTGAAGATCATACAATTTGAAAATGTAGAAAAGATATTCCGAATCCCAACATTGAAATTCTACTTAACTACATTCCATGGATTACAGTGTACTTCCAAACTACCAGTCAGGTGAGTGAGCTGTAACTTCCCAAAAGCTTTTTGGATTGGGATGGGGAGGAGATTGCATAGATATGTCATTAATGGCACAGGGGTGACTATAAACAGGCCAATAGAAGCAGTGACCCCATCATACCTTAAGGTTCTAAGTGGAATGATTTGTATTCTACTCTGATGAATACTGGGAGGCCAAGAGATAGACAGAGGAAATGCTCCCTTTGCTTTATATGTAACAAAGTCTTAAACTTTAAGTGTACATACAATGTACGTATGTACAATGTACATACATTACTTACATATAGTTATTCCTTTGCCATCCTTCAACCAACTTCTGATTGAATTCTTCCAACTTATCCAGTTCCATTTACAGGAAAGCACAAAGTTATCAGACACGTTTTCAGCAGCTTTCATGTCGAACTTTTAATTCTGATTCAGTAGAAACTGCACTGGCCACTGGACTACAGGAAACAGATTTAACAGTGTAGACTATGTGGGCCACAGACATAAGTATAAGTGGTCAGCATGGAAGTAGCCTTAGTTTGTGAAATTATAGAATATTCCAAAGACATATTTTTTGAATCAACAAGTAACTTTATGTTTTTTTACAATGCTTTGGAAAAAAACTAAAATTGACAAAGTTCCTGTTAACTCTTACCTTCTGATTCCTTCTTACTCTCCTCCCAATTCTAATTTCCCTCACCCCTAATACATATTTAGGTGTGTGTGTGTATTTAAGTGTGTGTGTGTCCGCTTTTGACACAGCCATTGCATCCTCTGTGCTTCTCAACCTCTCTTGGTGAGTTTCACATGGTAACGTACTCAGATTTCACCATTATTATTTTCCTATCGTTATCCCACTCCCTGGAATGACCTTCAAATGCTTCCATTCCTAAACTTCTGGGCCCAGCAGAATGAGTGTATCAATGTTTCACATAAACAGAAAATGGTGAAAACACACAACAACATCTGTGGTGCGAGAAACAGTCAACATTCCTGGTCAAGGACCTTTCTCAAAACCGAAAGCAGACAGAATTGTATTAGATTTTGTGCAAATGAAAGAGGGCCAGGGAACTAAAAGAAACATCTGGCAAAGAGGGTGGAGGATGGGCAAGATGAACTGATAGAAAATTTGATGGAACAAGTTATAAAGGTAGAGGTGACAGTTGTGGTAGAGGTAAAGATTTGTCTAGGATGATTTGGATGGCAGAATGATAAATAGTTATGTCTGCAAGCAAAAGTAAAATGAAGACCAACACATGCTAAAAAAAAGCAGCAGAACGGGTGGGGTGGAGGGAGCACAGGAGAAGAATTTATGACGACAACTAGTTGTAAATTCAGTGGCTGCCTAGAGAGATAGAGAGACGGAGAGACAGGGAGACTCTGCGTTGTCACATCTGATGGGATGTCAAACAAGCTTCAAAAGGAGACGTTGTACTACAACCTCCTAGAAATATCTCAGACCTTGAATACGATGGTTAAAAAAAAGACAGCACCCTGGAGATTGGCAGACTGCATTCTCCCCTTTCAAGAATACAAAGGGCCAGGAGTTGAAAGAGATATTCACCCTTGGACCGTCTGTGTCTTAGTAGCCTGACAGCCTAGTGTGTGGACTAGTGTGCTGTGAGGGTCCGAGCTCTGAGAAGAGCTACTTAAACACCTGTTCATGGCAGGTAAAGCAAGAAAAATGTATTCTTACTCAGTTTCGCCAGTAAAGAGCTGCCTAAAGGAATCAGGACAAAAGAGTTTCAATCAAATCATAAAACCAAGAATGTCAAAATCAACTGTGCAACTATCAATGTCAATGCTCATTCACTACAATAATCATATCACTCTTTGTGAACAATTCAGTGATTGATCCATATATCTTTGTTTTAACTTATGTCTATTTGGACTCACCTCTTATTGCTAAGCTGTGTGCTGAATGTTGCGTTACTATTTCTTGTCGTGTTTAGTAACTAAAAGTCTCACTCTTTTTGTTGATTCAAGGAAGCCTAGTTCATTGACTCCTTTGAACCGTAAGTTAATTTGAGTCTGGGAGAAAAGTATCCATAAGGAAGGGGATCCTATTAAAATTAACCTTAACACACCAACTGACACCAATAACCAAGGGTTAAACCACTTGGGAATTTAACTGTGTGAGATATCCCATCAGGAACAATAATAAATCAGGGAACTTCACCCAGAGCAGGTTGTAATAACCTCAAGCTTGCATTGAGCTTCACTGGAGCAATGCAGCAGGGTGAAAATAGGGATGTCAGCCTGAGAGTGGGGTGGAAAATTAAAATGAAGGGCTCCTGGAAATTCACCGTTAAAACGTAGGGGAGGCAGTTGCATAGTAATAATGTTACTGGATGAGTAATCCAGAAGTGGGATTACTGTCTGAGGACATGGTATTGAATTCCACATGGCAGGTGGTGACATTTCAATTCAATTGAAAAGAAATGGAATAAAAAGCTCTCTCAATCCAACCACATAAAAGCACTGTTAATTGTTGCAAAAACCCATCTGGTTCACTAACGTCTGTAGGGAAAGAAAACTTCTGTCCTTACTTGGTTTGGTGTACATGTGACTCCAGACCCATAACAATGAAGTTGATTTTTAACTGTCCTCTGGGCAATAAATGCTGGCTTAGTCAGCAACGCCTGAATCCTGTGAATGAATAAACTACATCCACATTTTTTAACTCCACTGTAGAGAAGCCTGCACCCTGAGTATAGTGATCAATTGAAAGAGGTAAATGTAAGCTGCTGTTGTACATGGTAAAAGCACTTTAAGCCATGGATGATGAGGTGAGAGGCGGTAAAAGGGTAGGTGTTTTATTTATTGCAGTGGAAAGGGTGTTGGAGCTGATTGAGATGCATTTAAAATTGCTGTGGACAGTATGATTCCTTGAGAATTCTCACAGGGGAGATAGGGAAGATGTGTTTAGATTAAAAATGAAGGAGTCAGGGGAAGACTGCTTGCCAAAGAAGCAGTAAAGGAGATATCAATGGGAAAAGACAGGATGGATAAACTGTTTACACTGGTTGGGGATTCTAGAGCTAGGTAGCATAGTCTGAGAATTAGGGCCAGACCATTTAGGAGAAATGTTAGGAAGCATTTCTACACAGGAAGAGTTGTAAAGGTTTAGAATTTTCTTCCACAAATGACAGTGGATGCTGGATCAGTTAATTCAGAGATAGATAGTTATTTTGCTTAACAAAAATGTAAGGGAAATGGGCCAAAGCCAGGTAAATGGAGTTAGGCTACAAATCAGCGATGATCTCATTGAATAGTGGAACAGACTCGACGAGCTGAATGGCCTACTCCTGTTCCTATGTTCCTAAGCAATAAAAGTATAAATATTTTATTATTTATGTAGCAATTACAAGTCTCCAGAGTCAAGTGATCTCCCCTTTTTTGGTTGAGTTTAAGTGATTGATCAGTCAATTCAGCTGAGATTTTCAACATTTTTTCTGAGTGTGAGTGTGTGTTAACCAGTAACTAACACACTGTCCTGCTGGCAAGATAATTCAGTTTGCCCGCCTATCCCCATCATTAAAACATGACATTAGAACGCATAGGAGAGTATCTCACACTCTCAGGGGCCTCAGTATTAGCATTTTGGGTCACCAGGATTTTCCAGCCAATCAGAGGCCAGCAGCTTCTTGAAACTTGCCTGGTATAATGTATATCATCATTTGAGAGACATGATTGTTAACAGGTTACTTGTGTATATGTTGAATAGCACTGGGGCAAGCACTGAGTCCTGTGGTAATCTATTAACCAGTCTTCTCATACTCTTCTCTCATGTCCAAGGTGGAGTGTAAATTTTTATTTTGGCAAAGAAGTATTTCAATAACTGCCCTGTGCCAGGTTGGAAACACTCTGAGCAGCTTTAGGAGCTGACCTGTGTGCTACACTGTATCATAGGCAGCTGCAAGGGCCAGTAGTTACATGCCTGTCTTTAGATTCTTTGGAAGTCACATTCAATGTGGATGATGAGCCAGAACAGAAGGCCATGCTGAGCACCTTATGGAAATTAGCTTGGTCAACATAAAAAATGATGAGTATCATAAGATAAGATCCTCAAGATCTTAAACAAAAAGTGGTGGTATCAGTCAATAGGTGGCTGCCAAAGTGAAACATTTTCTGCTTTTGGTATGGCAGATTTTTCCCATACGCCACACCTTCAGGAGTGATTTTGAGCTGATGATCCTTGTATAGAAGTGAGTTGTTAAGGCGCAAACGTAGGGGCTCAGTTATTTCAGGGATTCGGAAGCAAATGTTGTGGTATCCCACTGCTTTGTCACACTTCAGATCCCTTAATGCTTCCTCCAGTTCTGTGATCTTGAAGGGATCAGGACTGCTGTGTTCTGCATTGTTTTTACAGCTCATTACAGATTGTCTGTTTTGTTTTATTTTCAACTAGGAGCTAGATTCTCTGAGAGTGGATGTCTGTCCCAGCACCTTACAGCTGGTTTACTTAACTTTACTTAGGAACTGCAACTTTAGGTGGTGAATAAGGGACTCTTGTGGTGCAGTGGAAGTGTCCCTACCACTGGCCAAGAGGCCTGGGTTCAAATCCCACAGACCACTGGAACAGGTTGACTGGAAAATATCTGGACAGTGAATAATCCTCATTTTTGGTGGACATGAAGAAAGCCTGATCAGGAAAATTATTCTCCCACCCCGACCTGTGCACTTATAGATGTGGGAAGAGATCCCTTAACTTTTATCCCTTTTGCAGATCTCGTTTCCCCCATGGACGAAGGCAGAGATTCCAGCCAAAGACCACCAGGAGGGTTTTTGTTCAACCCACCCCCTCAATCCCTGCAATAAATTTTCATTTGCACTGCGGTCTTCTTATTCAAGGAGTTGCCTTAAAAGTTTCTATCCAAAGTTTTTGAGAGGAGTACCAAGACACAGTTAAGTTCTGGCAAGTCCCAAATTCATATTTTGCACAGTTGACAACCTGATATACCTAAACTGACCACACAGAGATAACATGGGAAGGCTTGCTCGTGTGCTGC